ATAGGACAGGAGGGGGGGGGGGGGGGTTGAGGAGAATAATTGGACCTAAATGGAATGACGTGGGAGGAGCTTGAGAAAACTACGTGATGAGGAAGTTCCTAATTCTTATTCCCGAAAAAATGTTATTTGGAAGAGTAAATTAAAGAGAATAAATTGGCAGAGTATGCAGCACGCATGGTCTATACAACGACGCTCTCAATAGTTTAGAATATTGCGTGTAGTGCCGAATGAAGAGACGTTTGGTCAATAATGAATTGGAAATGCCGCGGAGGGAAGGGGACGTGGCCTAATATTAGGTAGGTCTAATGTCTTGATACGAGTATGTGTTCATTGTTACTGAGGAAAACTACGGAGAATATCCGTCAGTATAGCCGGTCTTCGAGCCGAATTACACATTTTAAACACAAAAAAAAAATCAAGCAGGGGAGTCTGGCCTCATCTGAAAGAAAATGTTTTCCGTTCCCGGCGTAGTCTAAACTGCCCTTCTGGTGACGTGGGGACACAAATAATTGCCAGGAGGCGTAAAGTCTGGAAGGTCTGTGGTGTCATCAGCGTCTCAGTCGGTTTCTCGTGACTAAACATCGCGTCTCAAACAAATCACTAAGCATAGCCCTGTGTTTACATTTACTGACTCATTCGACAAGAGTGAGGTTATGAGATCCCGCCCGGTACAGGGACGAGTGCAGGCCACTAACTTGCAACAGAACAGGCGTACACAGTGAACACGATGATGACTATTTGGTAGTCGAAACATGTTATGCTCTTAACTTTGATTTCCAATATAATGGTGATATGACGTAATTAACAGCTGCCGGTGCCGCAGCTCCACGCAACAGAATGTTGTAATTAAAAGAAAGGCCTACAGCTAGGTCTAGACCTACAGACCTGCTTTTCAGTGAGTGGGCCTACAATTTCTGTTAGCAGGCCTACAGGCCTATAAACCATGGGGCTACGTTCACAGAAAAAATTTATGCCTATTTGTTGTGTGTCTATGGAAGTTTCAGTTCCTTCTACTTAAGTCTTTCGCGTCAGAATTGCAACCCTTACCGCTCTAAGTCTGTGTCCGGTACTGAACAGAACATGGTTCAGACACCACGTTCAGCGTGGGACCCATGGGACACGATGAGATCTCTGAACACGTTGAGCCAGGAACCGCAAGTTGGTTTCAGCGAAATATTTCGTAGGCCTAAATGTGACGGCAAATTTGGGCCGGCGTCCGATAAGTTAACTGCAGGGTTAGTCCCATGGAACGCCGTTCCACTGACATGGATATCCGTGTCTCATGAACTGGACGGTAAACCAGTCAACCGCTTTTTAACATCAGAAGAATACCTTCTGGGGTTTCGATTACAGGAAGACTATTTATCCTTACTGCTAAACCCTTTAAAGCCCGGTAGTTACTATATATACCATATGCTTTAACATAATAAAATTCTGCATTCTACCCACAGTGTATCTGTGTGCTGCGTATGGTTCTCACAATAAACAGCGGCTGTTTCCCTAAACAGCATTAAACGGTAGGACTCCGTAGCGGATTTACAAATGGCTTTCAAACTTCCGTACGTAAATGATTACATAACAAAATTAGGCAGGAAACAAGCAGAAGTCATATAAAATCATGATAATGCAAATGTTCGCAACATTGGGTAAGGAGAACCCCGACGCAGGAAATATAAGAGGATTAAATTTGGCGGCTGCCAAGCATACTACCGTTCAAGTGACTAGACTGCTGTTGTAGCAGGAGCTACTAATGATAGGGCAAAAAATCCGCTCTACTGAGCCTGGACTGACAGAGGCCTTGTATATGTTGTATACAAGTATGTACATACATTTAGTAACGTGTGGTGTAAATTGTACACACTGACAACAGACTTCTTACTGCTGACTGTGACTCTGCAAACGACAGACCCGTTCTCTCGTCAGAGAGGGCGTCCCACATCAACAAATCTGCAACAGTCAGACAGTAAAAGAGATCTGGTCTTACGCCCCAGATGGGTGCTTTATTCCAAGACAGACTGGCCGACTGACCGTCGGTCGTAAGATAAGTTTGGCTTTCTCTAAAGGGTTTCGAAAACTGATTATAAAACTCAAATAGATTGTGTATGTATGTATGTATGTATGTATGTATATATATATATATATAAATGGGAGAAATCTATTTTGTCGACTAGATACGTTGTCACAGGCCACAACATTTATAATCTTGAAAAATTGATTAGTCGTAAAGTGGAACTAAGATTGACGGCTTTCCCTTTAAACTCTCATTCGCAAGTACGGTTTTCCATAAAGGAATGAGTTTAAACAAACCGAAAGGAGTCAGGCAGACGGTATGTGGTAATGGTGGCGAAATGAGCGGTCCACAGGAATGGAGTTTTTACTAGAGATACCGGAAACAAGAGCTTTAAGGAAAAAATATCTGAACTTTCACTGATATTTCTTTGTGGAATTCGTTTCATGTCTCGCCCTACCAAATCCAGACGGTTTTCTTCACAGCCTACAGACGTATTTACAAATATACATACACTGTTAATTTTGTAGGGAGAAATGCAACCTTAAATATCGGATCGATGTACTGGTCGTTGTGACAGATTGCTCCCAGCAAACGGCAATTCTTCTATCATAATAACAAGCACTACGGGCGAGCACAACTGGTTTCTATGTACGTAGGCTACACGCAGACCCAAACAAGCCAGCATTTAATTATAAGTAAAAACGTAGAGAAGTTGCGAGGACA